TGACGCTGCTGATAATTTAATAAATGTTTTGACTATGTACTATAATATTTGTTGTCCTAAAGTAGCTGTAAATAATAAACAGAAATTAGCTGTAGGTCTTAAATGGTTTACACCAGAACTGAATAAAATGAGAAGCCACTTGTTAGCCCTAAGAGATAAATGGAAGCATACCAAAATGTTAGAAGACAAAGAGAGTTTTAAGTGTTTAAAAAAAGTTTATAACTTAGCCATCAGTAAGGCTAAGAAATCAGCCAGTGATAAGTATATTGCCAATGCAAAAAATCTATGCAAAGCTGCTTGGACAGTTGCTAAGAAGGAATGTAAGCTAGAAGTAGTAACAAAACCTCAAATACCTATTTGTCCAGATATATTTAATACTTATTTTGTAAACGTCTCTGCAAATGTCATGAAGGGCAAAGACCCAAATGTTAATAGTGTAGCCTACTCTAAATACCTAAACAATTGTAACTTTGTAACAGTAGATGACAATAACAATAAATTTCAATGGGAACTTGTTGAAGAAAAAACTGTGGAGGCTGTTGTTGGTAAAATGAGTAATTCCCGTAGCGAAGATGTGTATGGTATTTCAAACTGTGTAATTAAAAATATAATATGTTTAATTTTAGAACCTCTGACCTATCTCATTAATTTAATTCTTGCCCAAGGTTGTTTTCCAGATTGCCTGAAGACATCTAAAGTTACCCCTATTTATAAGAAAGGTGATAAAGAAAACCCTGAAAATTATAGACCTATTACCATTGTTCCTATTTTAAGTAAAATTGTAGAATCTTGTTTAGTTACTCAACTTTATAAATACTTTGTGGATAATAATTTGTTGTATAGTTACCAATTTGGTTTCAGGCCTAAGCACTCTACGGTGGATGCTGTAGAATCTGTCGTAAATCACATTTTGAATAGTTTTGAGAGCAAGTGTTTTGTGAGTTCTAGCCTTTTAGATTTAAGTAAAGCCTTCGACACTGTATCACATGTTATTCTATGTAAGAAGTTAGACTTTTATGGGGTTGGAAATATGGAGTTGAAGCTTAATGAAAGTTACCTTAGTAATAGAAAACAATTTGTTAGTTTAGATAATAGGGTTTCAAACTTTGCAAATATACATGCCGGAGTGCCACAAGGATCCGTACTTAGACCTTTTTTGTTTTTAGTTTTTGTGAATGACTTCAGCTGTAATAGCACTGCCATGTCAATACTGTACGCTGATGATACAACCCTTGTTCATTCTGATCTTAATCTGGAAAATGTTTTGACAAAACGGAATAGAGCTTTGGCACAGGCCCAAGAGTGGTTCTCAGCAAATAACCTAGTTTTAAACAATGACAAAACCGTACATATTTTATTTTCTTTGAAAAATGTGATAGATATTAACTGTGATGAAGATTTATTTAAACCTGTTAATTTACTAGGTATCTATTTAGATAGTAAACTCTCATGGGATGTACATGTAAATAGTCTATGTAAAAAGCTGTCAAGAGTAGTGTGTCTACTGCGAAAACTGAAAACATGTGTCAGTGAAGATGTGTTGCTTATGACCTACTTTGGTCTATTCCACACACATCAATTGTATGGAATAAAGCTCTGGGGCAACTCACCCTCTGCCATAGATGCTTTCATATGGCAGAAAAAGGCTCTCAGAGTTATGGCTGGGCTAGATTCTTCAGACTCTTGTAGAACAATTTTTCCACTATTTAATATAATGACCCTTGCTTGTATTTACATCCACAGCAATCTTATTTTTGTAAAATCTAATTTAGAAACTTTTAATCAACAGTTATCAGTTCATGATCATGACACAAGAAATAGAGGTAATCTTGTTAAACCTAATATTAGACTGCACAAGTACTTTAAGAGCCATAAATACCAACAACTGTTCTTCAATAAACTGCCAGAGATTGTGAGGCTGTTGCCAATTAAGAAATTTAATGCTGTAATTACAAAATGGTTAAAAAGTAAGGCTTTCTACACTGTAGATGAATTTTTAGACGCTATTACTGATTGTATTATAGACTGGCTGTGATGTATTTTTGCACTGTCGATGCCTATTGTAACGTTCTGTTGTTTAATGGCAAATAAATATTCTTGGTTCTTGATTCTTGATTCTTGATTCTTGACTCCTTGCGGGACGTCCCAATGATATGACAGAAAACTGATATTTCCTAAAAAAAGTAGATTTTAGGTGTGGTGTTGATGTATCAAATCTTATTGATTTATCTGTTGTCGTTTAGAAAATATTTAACTGTCTTCGGACTTTATTACCACCCTGTATCTATAAGTATAAAAGTGGATGTTTATATATATATGTTTGGCAGTGATAAACTCAGACACCGCTGAACCGATTGCCACGAAACTTGGTACATACGTGTAGAATTTCATGGAATAGGTTTATACACCATCAATTTCGTGATCCGTCCAATCGGCTCCACCCCAGTGGCTCTGGAGTTTCCCATGTTAACCTTATGAGAAATGGAATTAATGAATCTTAACAGCTGTTTCAATTAAACAAGTTGGTTCTGTTCTATGATGTTCAATAGCATTAAAGTTACAAGGATTACCAACAGGGTGCAGCACTATTATTTCTTTTACATTTATGACAACAGCTAATTTGCAACCAAAAGGTGAGTGAAGATGGCGAACGAACTTCAACCTGGAGACGAGTTAGCGTAGTGAACGAGATAACCTGAAGGCAAGTGAGCGCAGCGAACGAGCTCCAACCTAAAGGTGAGTGAGCGTAGCGAACGAACTTCAACCAGGACGTGATTGAGCCATGCGAACGAGATCATCTTGAAAATTAAGAAGTTAAACGGGACAAAGCCCGCGGGTTACAGCTAGAAATATATAAACACATATGTATAATCTTATTTAACAAATAAACAACCTTAAGCAACAGTAATAGTAGTTTACGCAACGATTGCGTTAAGTTAGTCTTTACGACACGAGTAGAAAATTTAAGGCACGAGCCTTGGCGTGTGCCTTAAAAACTTCTACGAGTGTCGTAAAGACTATTAACGCGAGATGCGTACACTACCTACTTTACCTACGACAGTTTTTTAATTACTAAAAATCACTACTCATTACTTCTTAGAGAGGTTATGTTTTCGTTTATTGTCATTGCCACTTAAAGTGATGCAACGACTTGTATAATCAGCTGGTTTCATGTAATTACGTGTTTATAAAACAATTCCTTTCCTTTTTTCAGGGAATAGGTTCTGCTAGCAGCATTCTTACCATAATTAATGTATCAGGTACTATTAAGAAAGTATTGCATTTTTTGGACAACTGATAAATATAGTGAAACAGTTAATTTACAGTTACATCTCAGCATCGAATATGTGGTCCACAACGAGTTTGGTGAAAAAGTGGTTGAGAGTTTTTCAAAATAAACCAGAAGCACATTTTCAATTATCAATTTAACCTTATTTTGTTTCGTCCATTTAATGAATTGCTGGTATGTAATTTCATACCTTTGTTTCGAGTTTGGTGGCAAAAGATGAGCAAACACAGTTTGTGCTCTCATTTCCATCTCGTCAACTTCACTTTTACTAACTGTAATTTTTTAATCAGTTCAATCCACCTCCCTTTAAATTCCACCAACTTAGGTTAAGAATACACGAGTATCAACAGGAACAAGTCGGATCAACAATTATTAAAATTGTCAACTGATCAGCTGATTAGTTGACGTTCGAAGTATTACAATTTACTTCTTTTCTCTCAATCCTTGAACCTCATTGGTCCATTACCCGTGTTGTTATGAGAAAAACTATGCTCTTATGAAAGTAAACAGCTGTTAAGTGAAAGTTAGGTGTTGCTGGCCATGCCAGCTGTCATCGTCATTTGGGGACCGAGCATGTTTTTACATCCCTAGGGCCGCAAAATCAGCTGCCCGCTTGCATATTAAATACACAAACAATATCCATAGCATTGCAATAGAATTGTTTCATTTTCGCCGTTGCCTAGCAACTGTTTATTGTTATTTACTAGCGTCTAGATACTCAGAGCAACGAGTCGGCTCACCGGAGCAACAGTCGGAGTGGGGAGTGGTGGGGAAACGATGACGTCATTACTTAATACAAACCTTCACCGTGGATAGCGCTCTTAGCGAAAGCTCTAGCTGTCAAGCTAGGCTGTCTGCTAGCCCTGTCATGTGGCGAGTCCCGAGTTTGGTAAACCAAATGAAAATAGCAAATTGACTTTTAGGATTGGTTGGAATAAACTAAGAATGATTGTTGATGTCATCTCAGGCAAATTTTTGTTTGGGAGTTGAATATTAAATTTTGCCATTAATAAATCAGCACCATTGCAGTTTTTCGGTCAAACCTTGTTTTCAATGCGTACAGTAGTCTTATCTTATAAGGAATCATAATTATAGAAATAATAACATATTATAGCTGTCAAATAACTTAATGGCAGGCTATTTTTAAATAATTACTAGCGTCTTAATTCTCAGATTTATCTTACGATTAACTATTTTTAGTAATTGAAGTTATTAGGTTGAAGAACTCATGATTAACCAACCCTTCACAGATTTGTCCTCTCACAGTACCGGTATGCCCAAGCTGTTGATTCAAAATTAATAATGTATTTAAAACTATTTAAGATTAGATAATCAAAATAGATTCAATTAAATCTGCAACTGCTCAAATTTTGATGTAAATAAGTCCTAGTTAAATGTTGAAATGAATTCTATGATATCTGTAGGCCAACTGGTTTACCAACCGTAGCCAAGTTTAGTGTTTGTCATATCACCTTTTATAACATACAGCTATCCTATATTGACCATGATGAGCTTATACCTCCTCCAGAAAATAAAGTTTTAATCCATGAATATAATTAAATTATAGAATATTTACAGTCCAATTCTTTTAGACTGATAGAAAAATCAGTAAAGTCGAGATCACGAACAACTTAAATAGGCCTATATCTTTTCGCACACAGCCCTTCACAACCCAAAAGAAGTAGGTTTTAGGGGTAAATAATGAATGTAGTTAATACTTAAACAACATTTTATTTATATGTTTTATATTACATGTATGTACAAGACTTAGCCTCTGCCTATTGTTGAAAGTAAGGTACAATTTGTTTTTAGTTGTAATGTTTTTCTAACTAAATGGTTGTGACCACATATACCTTTATATAAACAACATAATAATTACATTTTTAATAGGTCAATAGGTCTATGTTAATTGCAAATGTTCATTTCCTATGTATTGAACTTAAGACCTGCCCTCTGGTCTAAGATTCATTTCATTCAGACCTGATTCAAACATTTGTAGTGAATTTGCAGCAATGCGAAGCTAAATGTAATGCCGTGAGCGCTTCTAAAAATGGATGCGACCACATATATCTTAATAAAAAACATAACAAAATACAATTCTAACAAGCCAATATCTCTAAAAATGTCCCATGTAATGAGCCTAACATGGTATTGATTCAAACTGTTTGTTATAGACTCACAGCTGTGCAAAGTGATGAAATACCATACCGTGAGCGCTTTTAAAAATGGAAGCGACCCTATAACCCTTTGTAATTACCAAAATGATTACAATAAAAACTGTCTCATTACTTTAAACTAACCCAAAATATGAATATTCCCGTTATAAAGATTAAGCCCCGCCCACTGGACCAACATTCATGTCTGCAATTGTTAATGCGAACACTTCTGAGAAATATGAATGAATTAGTATATTATAAAAATTATTTGTACGGTTCTATAAGTTGATGTGACCACATAAACCTTATTAATTAACGATATCGTTATAATAAAAACTCTCTAATAACTTTCAACCAACCGAAAATGTGCATGTCACAGGTACAAAGCCTAAGCCCCGCCCATTGAACTAAGATTCATGTCTGCAACAGATATGATGCATACACTTCTAATTAAAAAAACATGTTTTTCTAACAAGTAAAACTTATTTGTATGCAGATGATACAACATGTTTTAATATTAATCCCAACCTTAAACAATCTTTAACAAGCCTCTATTTGGTTTGAATCTAATGGCTTCCTCTTAAATGAAGATAAAACTCAAAACAATTGCGGCTCCCTCGGAAACCTTATTTTTTAACATACTAGAATTATTCATGGCTTTTACAAAGGAAGCCAATTATGTTATTGTTTACAATGTTATATGGTATAGATACAACCTGACGCTTTAAAACTAAGCTAAGTTTAGCAAATTCATTTGATAGGGTTATGAATTGCAATTAAGTTGGTTAAAGATTGGATCAGCATGTAGCGTGTCACCTGTCGATAAATGTTGCAAATTGACAAATGCCAAAGCCTACACTTGCTTTATAGGCTAATCTATCAATATAATTCAGCATTGTACATATACTTTAGTACCTTTTGTGTACATAAGATGAGGATTTATTAAGTGTCAAGAGATTAATTTTTGTCTTAAAATGCACCTAACTAACATTTTAGTGTAATGTAAGCTATTGTTTATGGCTAAAGTTCAATATAATCCACCCTAATAAAAATTGCTTTATAATGTGTCCCCTTAAGCTGAGTTATCCTAGGCGCGGAAGCGGGAACGCGGAAAAGATGCTGATAATTTAAAAGAGATATAAGAAAAAAATCTAATGAAGGTTTACTAGTAAATTAAAAATAGTTCTGTTCATAAAATAAAATTATAAATAGCCTATGCCTCAAATTCTAACAAAAGATGTAGGCCTACATATTTGAAAAAGTCTGTGCTACTGGTGGGTTAAATTCCGCTTTCCCACAGGGCGCAGTGGTGGGGGGTTTTGGTCCTCCAGAGAAACGTCCTCTTGTAGTTAACGTATATAAAAAATAACAATCTCTATAGTAACAGTGTCGGTGCAAAATGAAGAATTAATGAAGCAGATTAAATGCTATTTCATCTCTCTTCCTCTTGGATATCTTCTTGTTATTGAACTTTTGAGATTTTCTGTTCACTTTCTTAGTGGAAGTAAATCTCCTTTGTTGGATGATATTTGCATTTGCTGGTGACACAGAGCTGGTGATCTGCAAAGTAAGACAATCAGATTATTACTTTCGTTAGGTCAGTTACGTTACTAATTATTTGCTAAACCCGTTCTTCGTGTAGGGTTGAAAGCATTGAATAGTGAATGGAATTACCATTTAGGCCCAGTTGAAATAGTTGGTTTATTAATTATTAGCTATAACGTATCGATCAGTGAAGCAATATACCATTTTGGAAAATTGAATAAGTCAACATAAATAATCCATTTGCATTATGAGGGTAAATAAATACCTTTTTACGTATTAACCCATGAGGTAAACTTTAATAATCTAAGCAGTAAAGAATCTTCTGAGGTATGAGTATTTACAATTTGAAGGTAGCCTACCTTTTCAGGTAACTTAATATTTCAGAATATTTATCCCAGATTTAAAGTTTAAACAAAATTTGTGCACCTGTTATTTTTACTTAACTGAATCATGGACATTTCAAATTCTTACCCTTTACATAAATATGCAGTACTAACATGTATCAAAGCTTGTTTAAAAATTTGCAGCCTTTAGAAAATTAAGGACTATTATGAGATACCTTTAGAGTTGATGTGGAAGTTGAAGGTAAATTCATAGCATCAACTGTGGTAGACATTTTCTTCAACTCTTGCAAAATGTAGATCCCTTGATCCATGTTTGTCACTCTTCTTGTGATATTTTCGACTTCATCTGCAATTTTCTTCTTGATGTTTTCAAGAGATAAGTTAGGCTCGACTGGTTGGCTTACTTCTTCCAACAAGTTGCTCTCCTCTTCGACAAAATCAAAATTAATTTCCATGTTACCACAATCATAATTGGTGTTTTCTCTTTCTTTCGGTAATGTGCATGCCACAGCATGGATATGCTTACACATATTATTTTTGATACAACTGTCAGGACATGAACAAACAAACTCGTGAAAACAAGAATCACAATGGTCACATAACAGCTGACATGTATTACACATTTTTATACGTGTCACTGAATATATTTCAGTCTGTTCTGAAGAACAAACTTGCCATTTGTTGCATCCAACATTCACTATCTTTTCCTTAGGGATCGTCAGACTTCGTTTATGGTTTTTCCTAAGCAATTGCAATTTCCTTACTAGTTTCCCTCTGTTCAGCTTTATTATGAGGTCAAAAACTTTATCTTTCAGCAGATTTAAGATTGCACAGAGAGTTTTATCAAGTCTGCGTATTTTCTTACCCCTTAAATAACAATATTTAAGAACTTTGTTGAAGTTCTCAATTGACATGTTGGTATTGATTCCAACATGCAATCTGTAGCAGTACGCCCAATACTTAAATCTTTCATTAGCAACGTACTCCTTTTCGAAATAATTAGAAAAATCTAAAAGATCGACATCGCTTTTTAAAACTTCCATTGTTTTTGGAAGGATTTTTTCAAAAGTGTTAAGATCAAATTCATAAATTAAGGTTTGTAAAAGTCCTTCTACATATTTTCGCTTTTCCGTATTTTTCACTTTTTGCACGATCTGCTTACGCCAGGCTCTTAACACATGCCATGTACAAAATAGCCTGTGTTTTGCGGGACACATGACTTCTCTCCATGCCGTGTAAAAAGTTTCATCCATGTCCGACATAAAAGCATTTGTGTCAATTTGCCCCACTTCAGATTTTATTTCGTTGAAAAACAATTTCATCACTTCTTTATCGCTTTTGTTTGTAAACATGAACGCTACTGGGAAACCTTCCCTGGTTTCATCCAAAGTTAGAAGGGTAAACAATTGAAAGTCATAATTATTGAGCCCATGAGTGCCATCAATACAAACAGTGTGCTGGCCAAATTTTTTTAGCATTGCATGTTGGGTTTTTGTCATGAATATTAAAAGAAAATCATCTTTTGAGAGATATGGGAAGTCTTCACTTTCTTCACCCTGAGCTTTATATTTAATTCTTGAAATATAACTTGAGTTGGTCAGTTCTTGGACCCAAGCTGCAATGCTAACAGGATCAAAAGGGTGTTTTATAGAATCTGAATGCAGATTGAAGCTGCTTTCTATGTTTATGATATCTTTTTTGTTTGTTAGATGAATTCTTTGTAGTTCAAAATCTGATATTGATCCTCTGATAGATTTTAAGATTTCTTCATGTGGTTTTTTGTTGGCTAATTGAAGGGCTATTGACCTTCTCTCTTCACGAGATAGTCTGATGTGTCTCAGCTCATTCCTATGTCCAAAATGTGATGAGACATGGTGTACGAGGACTTCATTTTTCTTGATTCTGACAGTCAAATTTGATGGACAGTATCCATTTATTTTGCACGATCCTGACAATTTGATGTGTCGTTTTGTATGACCTCGTGATCTGTGGTAGCCACATCTGTGGCACTGGTAATAGGCTACAGTTTCATTAGAAAAACGTTTCACATATGATGCCGTGGAAGCCTTTTCTAGGTCAATTTTCCAAATATTGAACTCTTCAATAGAGTTAAACTTATGTCTTCTAGTTCGAATCGGGACATTGTGAATTTTTTCAAAATGCTCGTGGATCTCTTTTTTTGATTTCTGTGTGGAAATGTAAGGACATGCAGGGCATTTTCTTTTAATATAAAAAAATGGTATGTCATTACTGTGGAACTTTCTTTTATGATAATTAAGATTTTTCTTGTGAGAAAAGCTGGCTGTACATTCTTGACATTCATACTTCCGTGACGTTGTAGGTTGGATCAACTGGTTTTCGTGTTTTCTTGAAAAGTGGCGCTTTAAATTGATTTGATAAGCAGTTTGAAAAGTGCATGAGGAGCATTTGAATTTCTTTTGTCGTTTGACCTCAGAGAGCAAATGTACACTGTTTATATGATGATCTAAATTTCTTTTCTCAACATAGCTTTTGTCACAGATTGCACAAACAAATCTTTTTTCTTTCAAATCCTGTAAAAGGTCCCCAGCCGAGTTCCTTTTATGTACAGTTTTTAAGTGTCTTTGCCAGTTATATTTGGTCTTAAATTCTTTATCGCAGAACTGACATTTAAAAGTGGATGTTGCTGCGCTCATCTGAAACAAATTTCATAAAATTATTGCATTTATAATTATATAATATGAGGTAAAGGAATATTTTATTGAACATCGGAGTTAGTAAATTATGTCTTTCACGCTATGACTTGAGATGTATATTTTTAGTCAAACTTCATGTTTATAGCCCCTGGAATGTTATATTAGACAATAGGCCTAGTAGGTTTTTACGTACCTCCGTCAAATAGTCCAATGATAAAGATTGCTTGGATTGCAGTAGCTTACATGTTTTGTTGCAAACAGAGACGTAGCAAGGTATTGTTTGCAGAGGCCCCTGCTGAGGGCGCAGGAAGCATATTGGTGCAAAATTGGCTTTTAAATAATTGTAAGAATTATTAAAACAACAACATTATTTAAAATTAAAACATTATTTAACATTAACATTATTTAAAATTATTTAAAACAACATTATTAGAACTGTTCCCGTATATAAAAAGGGCCCTAAAAAAGATCTTTCTAGCTATAGACCAGTGTCTTTGATACCTGTTTTAGGTAAAGTGTTTGAGGCTGTGATGTTGCAGCAGCTGAGTAACCACTTTGAGGAGCACAATCTCCTTGTTCCTGCCCAGCATGGCTTTCGGAGGGGTTTGTCGACTGTTTCGGCAGTTGACTCCCTTGTGAGGGTCATACTGGAGGCATTTGAAAGCAAATCTTCTGTTTCTGTTTTGCTGTGCGATTTGTCTCGAGCATTTGATTGTATACCACATGATGTTTTACTTAAAAAACTACAAAAATATGGGTTTGGCGAGAGTGCCCTCAAGGTGGTCAATTCATATCTTGCAGATAGATTCCAAATTGTAAGTTGGTCAGGTGTTCATTCAGGCGCCCTGCCAGTCAAACACGGGGTGCCCCAGGGCTCAGTACTGGGGCCTTTTTTGTTCATTATAGCAATGAATGACCTCTGTTTTTCTGTTTCAAACGATGTACTGCTCTATGCTGATGACACAACCTTGTTTGCAAAGCACATTGATCCTGTAATTGCCAGTAACTCCGCAAAAAGATTGTTTAACATAGCTTCTGAATGGTTTTCAGGGAACAAATTGGCTCTTAATGACAAGAAAACCCAAGAAATAATGTTTAGCTTAAGTAAAACTAATTCTGTTTGTGACTCTGTCAAACTCTTGGGCTTTACTTTGGACTCTGAGCTTGTGTGGGATGAACATGTCAACGCCCTATGTACTAAACTTAACAGAGTAATTTGTCTTTTGAGGAAATTAACATCTGAATTGCCTCCTGACTTTGTGAGACTAGCATTTTTCTCTTTTTTTCAGTCACACGTTGTGTATGGAACCAGGCTTTGGGGTCACTCCCCACAGGTTCAGAAGGTCCTCTTGCTACAAAAAAGAGCAATTCGTGTGATGTGTAATTTGCCTTTTAGAGCACATTGTAGAACATTTTTTGTTGATATGCAGATCATGAGTGTCATCAATGTATATATTTACCAGTGCTTAGAAGCTATCAAATCGATGGAAAATGATCTTATTTTCAATAGAGACATCCATCCGTATAGCACTAGAACTTGTAATGATGTACATACTCCTAGCAACAGGCTAAGTAAAAGTCAAAAGTGTTTCCCTGTTTCAGGTTTCAAATTTTTCAATGCTCTGCCTGTTACCATTAGAAACTTGCCAAAATTGAAGTTTATGAAAGTGTTAAAGAATTGGCTGATAACAAATCCTTTTTATAAATTTGACGAGTATTTTGAGGCTTTGAAGGGTTAAAATATCATGTAGTGCATGGACCCGATGATAAAAAAAGGTATGCCTAATTTTTATTTACCTTTGCATGGTTTGCTGTTTTGATTTGCAGTTTTGTTTGGTTTGTTTTCCTTTTTATATTTAGTTTTATTGAATTTTTATTGTACTTTGACGTAGCCTATTGTACAAACTTAATGGCCTAATAAAATCTTTGAATCTTTGAATCTTTGGAACGCCTTTACCACAACAATACAATGATCAGCCATCGGTGGTCGTGGTGTAGTGGATATGGTGCTCGGCTGATATGCAAGAGGTCCAGGGTTCAAATCCCATTAGTGACTTTAACTATTTGTCGAAGATTTTGCATTGAATACCATTTCTTCTTAACTGTACATCTTTTATTAGAATTTTTGGCATTTATAATTTTTTTTATAGAGAAAGAATTTAACCTTAATTCGATTTTTTCATTATCAGCAAGTTTGGTTGGTTAGGTTAGGTTATGACAGTAATTGCCGGACGTCTAATCCACGTCGGGTTACCGGACGTGTATGCTTTGCCTAATGAAAAACCCGGTTGCTTTAACTTACCTTGGCATTGGAAAATCCATCTGACATCAGTTTCAGTTATAATTTGAATGATATTGATAAAATAGTAAAATTACAAAAATAAACCACTTTTGCTTGAGTCATTTCGTCATTTATTTGTGAGTTTTATTTATTAACAGTAACGGTGAAAATTCTGAAACAAAATACAGAATACAGAGTGATATCATAGATAAAACATACTCCGTTGCTTAGTCTATGATGATATGCAACATTTATCTAAACTAACTGTGCATTTGGTTTCTTTATTATTGGTGTTCTAATCATTAGTTTAGGAATCTTTTACATAAACAACCTCGGTGGTAGATAGCCTAAGTTACAAGTTTAAAAATCCAGCTGCAAAGCAATAAACTAGAATTCAATGAAAAATCTGTTGCGTTAACTCACCTTGGCGTTGGAAAATCCATTTGACGGATCTGACATCAGTTTTAGTTAGAATTTGAATGATGATATTGATAAAAGGACAATACAATTACAAAAGTAAACCACTCTTGTCTTAGGTCCGTTCTTTTCTTTATGCGCAGTTAACTTTAGGTAAAGCAGGAGCAGACGACAGACGAACTTGAAGCTACCAGTAGTGGTGAAAGCTGGAAGTAAGCGATGACGTCACCGTTCGAGCTACCCATGGTAAATGCTTGCACTAAGTAATGGCGTCATCGTTTCCTCACCGCTCCCCACCACGTCTGTTGCTCCGGTGAGCCGACTCGTTGCTCTGAGTATCTAGACGCTAGTTTGTTATTTTTGCTGATTCCTGAAATTGCTTCTTCACATAACCTTAAAGTTGCGTTGACTATTAGTGTGCATTAATTATTATTGTGAATAGTAGTAGTGTGGTGAAAAATAGTGTTTGTACCACGGACCAAAAATGGGTTTTCAGCTCTCGATCGTTTTAAGTTTGAGTCGGCAAAACCTCATTTCCGGCCCTAGGTACGAAATATACTATTGTATATTATTCTATATATGAATAAAAGTGTATGTTGATAGCTATTATGGCGGTGTTTGAGGTAAGAGGTGAATTTAAATGTAAGGCGAGCGAATTATAGCCTCTGCAGACTAAAATGCAGCGTATAAATCAAGGTCTTTGAGTGGCTGATGACTGTAGGACGTTACAGTCATCAGCCACTCACAGACCTTGCTTCTTTACGCAGCTTTTATACTATTTCTAATAATTTTTTTATCCGCTATCTAAATTGCTTACTAACTTTATGTGTTTGTTAGTACCTACCATGACTTAAATTTTTTTCGCATAAACTCTTAGTTTCCATTCCACACAATAATTCTCAGGGGGCGCTGAGTATTCAGCCTAAAGGAACTGCCTTTATTCACTTGTTTCTTTAAAAATTCAATTTTCAGGATGGCGTACCACCCTGATTGCTCCGGATAGTTTCACTTAAGGATAAGTAGGGTGCTGGGCGTAAACAAAGCCAGATAACTACTGTTTAGTTGTACAACAGCGGTAGAGATTGCGCATGCTCGGCGCGGCGCCGCGGCGCTAGTTCTCAGTCGCGCGACGACCGTCATTGCCGCGGTGCAGCCACCTGCGTCACCGTCACACGTTAACTACTTTCTGAGTTTAAAAACAAGAGACGTTTCAGTTCCCACCCAGGCACAAATATATCGCTCGGCTCCTGTAAGTGTTTTTTCTATAATGCATCACTATTGTAGTATTTCCTCATACAACACAGTCTTTGGAATTACTTAGCTATTCGGTAGATGAATTATAAAAAAAGATTGTATGGAAAGACGTATATTGTTTGATAAACTACTGCAAAGGTGGTTGATTGAAAACAATTAATAAACATCTTAGAAATGTTTAACAATCGATTGTTGATATTAACCTCGAGACAAGTAGCCTAACTTATGTTGGAATTTAACGGAACTTGAAAAATGATAGTAGTACACTACTGTAGTTTCGCGCCTAGCATATTTTCTAATTTTCCAAGAAAACAGATGGCCAAAATCGTAAATCATGGACACATAAATATTAAATATTTTTTGGTGAGTCTGCTTTTTGTATACTATATTTGGTTGTGACAAGTTGTCAAATAAAAGAAACCAAGACGGAAAAAGCTTTGGACATATCTTGTTTGGTGAGAAGAGGCAGTTGCACATGGATCAATTGAAGATAAAATGCTATATAAACAGTTATTTTCAGTACGATTAAAATAATTAATTGAATGTTGATTTTGCAATTAGGTATTTAAAAGTACGTTCTACGAGCGTTAGAATATATTTTATTTTGACACGCATGTAAGAACAGAGATTTCTGTATAATGATAATTTTAAAATCTCTGATAGTTAAATCTTTTGAGTTTTACTGATTATAACAGGAATTTAGGTGATACGATTCTTAACTTTGTAAACTTTTGGTGTTTACCTCCACCCCTAAAGCCTCTACAGATGTTACCATGTTACTGTGGAAGAAAATCTAATAGAATATTAAAACGGCTTTATTAGGGTTTTCTGGTTGACGATAAAGATGTACGCTTTTACGCAGATCAATACGATTCTAGTGTATCTTGGGCTCAGAATTGTATAACTATCCACTACCAATACCATACTGTGAATTCCTTTTAGCTGTATTAAAATAGAAATAGCATTAACAATATTTAAAAAATATCATGTTTGACTTATTATGAAATTAGTATAAACAATAATGTTGACAAGACTATCCCTTAATAGTGAGTTGTGAGCTAGGTAGTTGTTTTGTTTGAATTTTCTATTACCTTGTCAATGTGTTTGTTTTGATATAATTATTTTTAAACATGCTCAGCTAGGAAATAAACTTCTATGAAAGTTGTTTTAAATTGATATTTGCGTGACCAAAAGCCTTAAAAGTTAAATAATGATGGCTGATGGACCTTTGATTAAGAAATTAACATATTATGGAATTCATCAGGTCTATGCAGAAATACATTTGACATGCATATAATATAGTGTTTCTCATCTTTCACACTTATTGCCAGGTATGACAAAATGTATATTGTTTATATTTGTAAACATTTGAGTGAAGCAGAAGCAGTTCAAAATATTTTACAACAAAACTGTAAGATGTATGAAAGGCCTTTCTGTACAGGCACGATTTGAACGAATGTGGCAATGATCCAATCTCATAAATATGAATGGACTAATGAAGTCAATCTTCCTGTACCATACTGTGCTAGGAAAATGTTTCCCATACAACTCAAACTAAAAACTTTAGCGTTTTAGCATTAATTAAGGATGTTTAATACAGTGTCCTATCTTAAGAGGAGATACCTGTATACATAGTAATATTAGTTTAGTTAATGTAATGCCAGATGTTGAAAGGGTAATATTTGTATTAGTCTAATGAGTTTGCTTATGTGGTTTTGTTGGCGACTAAATTATCTCTCTCGAACCATTAATAGATTTGATTATACGTCAAATGAAAATGTTATCGAAATAATCTTTGTGCCGTGGGGTAATCCCACCGCTATCCTTCTAACCTCTATCCTAAATTCAATTGGGCAGTGATTTATTGTTTTTGATTATGTAATCAGCGTTTAAAAGTTAACTCATAGTTATAAGCGTTATTCTTTACTAGAGACAATTGAGTATTATATCTATTTTGACTTCATTATTAGTTGCATTAATTAAATACTACCGTCACAGCAAACCTGCAGACTAGGTGAATTTTCATTTGTCTGATAAGATTTTTACTAAAATACTTATCCATAATAATCATTGCATTTAACATATGGACCAACACGATCCGGGTGACATTTAATTGCGAAGCATTTGTTTTGGCTTGAAACTGTCAGATACTGTATTTGCGAGGGTTTATATAATAATATTGCCAGCATATCTGAAAATATGCAAACCAACTGCTGTTCTTAAAATAAGAAGGTTTCAACTGACTACGATAAGATCCCCGTGCGTAGAACTGGCACACAGCTAGTCGTAAATTAATTAATTAATTAAAGTATGCATTTATTTCCAAGTTTACACTAACTACACATGCACCACATAAGAATGAAATATCAAGGTGACATGAATACTTTAAGAAAACATATCATAAATATCCTTCAGAAACTTGTTCAGTGGGCTTAGGGTGTTAACATACCAAAAGTCCTGACTCCTAGGTGGTGAGCCAGGGGGTGAAGGGATGAAAGGGGGGGGGGGGTTAAAGGTACGCATTTCGGGTTTTTCGATTATATCTCGAAAACTACCAACTTTTTGTACTACTATACTACACTATACTATACTAAATAATAAAATTGAAGAAGATTAAATTTTCTACAAGAAAAGTATATAATGTGTTTATTTTGGTTAAACAATTTATGAGTTATTACTAATTTAATTAATATCTTATTAAAATACTCCTTCCATAAAAAATGCATGTAAATTATTATGCACAATGGGGCACATCCTATCCGCCCAAAGGAAATATAACCGATATTCTGGAAATCTTGGTAAAATTTCCAGCAAATTGACACTTTAATCATTTTTTTTTATTAAAGCGAGGGTGACCGTTTGAAAACGGGATGATTTGAGGTTTTTTTTATAATTCTTAATAAAAAACACCAAAACACGACATTTTTGTTACATCGCCCTCGCCTTAATTTTGGATAAATTTTTATGATTAAATTGTCAAATTACTGGAAATTTTGTCAATATTTCCAGAATATCGGTTATATTTCCTTTGGACAAATAGGATTCACCCAATTTCGCATACTAATTTACATGTGTTTCTTATGGAAGGAGTATTTTAATAAGATATTAACTAAACAAGTAATAACTCGTAATCTGTTTAGCCAAATTAAACACATTATATACTTTTCTTGAAGAAAATGTAATCTTCTTCAATTTTATAATTTAGTATAGTATACAAAAAGTTTATAGTTTAAAAAAATGCGTACCTTTACCCCCCCCCCCCCTTCGCCCCCTGGCTCACCACCTAGGAGTCAGAACTTTTGGTATGTTAACACCCTAAGCCCCCTGAACAAGTTTCTGAAGGAATCGCTTAGTTAGTTACCTGCTCACGCACTCTA